TTGAAGCAATTTTTGGCCAAGCTGGAAGTCACGAGACTCAATTTTTCCATTTTTAGCGTTCAGAGATGATTTTAAAACATTGCATCCCAAATTTCGAGATCAGTCGAATTTTCCCTTGAAAACATATCGCTTTTTCGAATCTAAAGCAAGCTTTAGCCAAGCTGGATGTCACGAGACTCGATTTTTATATTTTTACGGCTCAAAGATGATTTGTAAGAGTTTGCACCTATGGCGCAGTGGATCGGCTCGACTCCGGATCGAGACCTCGCCGGTTCGAACCCCGCCATCGACAAAATTTTTTGCTTTTCTTTCAAAATTTCGTTTCTTTTAGATATTTATCTTTTTGCTTCACCGACTTTCAGAAATCTTTTCGAAATGACACTTTGAACTCATTATTTTCAAATTTCAAAGCCATTTTCGAGATCGACTCATTTTCCTTTTGAAAACAAAATGATTTCTAAAATTTGAAGCAATTTTTGGCCAAGCTGGAAGTCACGAGACTCGATTTTTCCATTTTTATGGCTTATAGTTGATTTTCAAATTTTGAATCAGAAAATTTCGGTCGCTAATGAATCTTAATCGTCTAGCCGCTAAAGACCTATCCAAAAAGCTTCCCAACGCCTTTCGTGACATCCAGATTGTATGAATTCTCCTTTATTTTTGCTTAATTTCTTCTAGTTTACCCAATTTTTGAGTGATCTCGAATCGCGGCTTTTACTCGGCAGGGAAACAGTTTTGAGTCTAGCCTAAAGGATTTCCCTCAAAGCTGGATGTCACAGGGCATTTCTAAATTGTTAGCGAGTAAAAATACAGTAAAGGCCCGGTGGCCGAGTGGTTAGCGAGCTGGGCTCCAGATCGAGACCTCGCGGGTTCGAGTCCCGTCAGCGTCAAAAAATGTTTCTTTTTCTTTTATTTCTTTTTCTTTGTTCTGAATCGATCCCCAGAATTGTTGCGAGACAAAAACTAACCAGAAAATTCTTTTCTTTGAATTACTTTTGAAAAGAAAAACTCTTTTTTGAGGAAAATCCCTCAATTGTTCTCCAAAATCGAAAAAAAAAACAAAAAACTGGGAAAACTTACGAATTTCTTGAGTTCAAAAGGGTTTTTACATTGATTTTAACAATGATAAGGCTTCTTTTTGTTCGAATTTCTCAATTTTATTGAAGAAAATTTCTTTTTTTTAAAAGATTAGAAAGAAATTTTTTTTCTTTTACAAATTAGTTAGTTTATAACAAATTAGCATAGTGTGACATCCAGGAAGCCCAATTCTAGCAAAATCTCTTTCAAAACTCCTCAAATCTGCAAGAAATCGCGCTGATCTCGTTTAGAATTTCAAAATGGGCTTTTGATCTTTTTTCTTTCAAATTATTGTAGTGTGACATCCAGATAAGCAGCTGCTATTCGAAAGTTTACAAGATTTAAAAGAAATCCGGAGAAATTGGGCTCGTCTCGGAGATTTCCTCAAAACTTATTGTTTATGCATAAATTTTCAAATCTACCTAAAGCCGGCTTTAAAAATTCTTTAAATCTTGCTTTCCTGACTCAAAAAAAGCTCGAAAAGCGAAGAGATCTCTGCAAAATGAAGTTTGTTTATCGAAATTTTCGAAATTGAAATTGAAATCCGTTTATAGTCAGATTAGAAATGAAAAAAAGGGAAAATCTGGTTTTAATCTGCTTTCAATGTAATCAGAAAGGATCAGAAGATCGTAAAAAAAGAAAATTATCATCAAATCCTTTAAACTAGAGGCTTTTCGATACGGTAATGAAGTTGATGCGTTTCCGGTCGTTTTTTCCATGAGATTTTACAAATTTTATAATAGAATCTGCCTAGCTGGATGTCACACTGCAATAATTTGAAAGAATAAAGATCAAAAGCCTATTTTGAAAGTTTAAACGAGATCAGCGCGATTTCTTGGAGATTTTAGGAGTTTTGAAGGAGATTTTGTTAGAATTGGGCTTCCTGGATGTCACAGTATGCTAATTTTTATAAACTGGAGCTTAAAAGCTTAAGAATCGGATGGCGCAGTTGTAGTGGTCGCGTCTGCCAGTCAGAGCTCGCTGGTTCGACTCCGCCCTCCGTCAATGACTCCAACCTTTTTGCTTTTTTGCTTCTTTTTGAAATTTGATCAAACTTTGGCATTCTAGTGTTCCGCGGGGCCGGGTGGGGCGCGAACCAACGACCTCTAGATCGAGAGGCGAACCCGTTACCCACTGCGCCATAGGTGCAAACTCTTCAAATTATCACTAAGCGTTAAAAATGGAAAAATCGAGTCTCGTGACATCCAGCTTAGCCAAAAATTGCTTTAAATCCTAAAAATCGGCTTGTTTTCAATGGAAAATTGGACTGATCTCGAAATTTTCTGAGATTAGGTCCATTTTTCCGGCTTTCGTTTGGATTTTGCGAAATTTCACAATAGAGCCATTTTATCTGGATGTCACACTACATTAATTTGAAAGAATAAACGCCAAAACCTCACTTTGAAATTTGAAACGAGATCGGCGCGATTTCTTGGAGATTTGAGGAGTTTTGGAGGAGATTTTGCTAGAATTGGGCTTCCTGGATGTCACACTCTGCTAATTTTCATAAATTAAAGCTTAAAAGCTAAAAAACTGGATGGCGCAGTGGTAGTGGGCGCGTCTGCCACTCAGAGCTCGCTGGTTCGACTCCACCCTTGGCCAAATTTTTTCGCCAAAAGCGAAATTTGATCAAATTTTTGGCCCAGACGTCCTCAAGTGATGTTCGTCAGTAAAAAAGAAGTTCGTTATCGCCAAAAAGGCTCTCTTTCCTTGGGAGATGTGTTCCGTTCGAATTTCATTTCCCGGCTGAATTTCCTATTTCATTTCTGCATAAAAATCATCTCCGACCCTTAAAAAGGAAAAAATTGAGTTTTGTGACATCCAGCTTAGCCAAAAATGGCTTTAAATCCGCAAAATCGGTTTGTTTTCAATGGAAAATTGGACTGATCTGGAAAATTTTTGAGATCAGCTCAATTTTTCCGGATTTCCTTTGAATCTTGCAAACTTTAGAATAGAGTCTGCTTAGCTGGATGTCACACTGTAATAATTTGAAAGAATAAACCCCAAAACATCAATTTGAAATTTTCAAAGCGATCAGCGCAATTTCTTGGAGATTTTTGGAGTTTTGAATGAGATTTTGCTAGAATTGGGCTTCCTGGATGTCACACTATGCAAATCTTGATAAAATAAAGCTTAAAAGCTTAAGAATCGGATAGCACAGTGGTAGTGGGCGCGTTTGTCGCTCAGAGCTCGCTGGTTCGACTCCGCCCTCCGCCAATGACTCCCACCTTTTTTGCTTCTTTTCAAATCTGAACAAATGTTAGCACTCTGACGTTCCGTGGGGCCGGGCTGGACTCCAACCCGGCGACCTCTAGATCCAGAGCCGAGCGCGCTACCCACTGCACCATAGGTGCAAACTCTCAAAAATCATCTCTGCCCCTTAAAAGCGAAAAAATTAAGTCTTGTGACATCCAGCTTGGCCAAAAATTTATTTAAATTCTAAAAATCGTTTTGTTTTCAATGGAAAATTGAGCTGATCTGGAAAATTTCCGAGATCAGCTCAGTCTTTCCGGATTTCCTTTGAATCTTGCAAAATTTAGAATAGCCACTGCTTATCTGGATGTCACACTACAATAATTTGAAAGAATAAAGAGCCAAAGCCCATTTTGAAATTTTCAATATTTTTTTGGATTTTTGGTGAATTTTTGGACTTTCAAGAAATTCCAAGAAAAAGACTAAATTTTCAGAAAAATATGCAATTTTCGTTTGCTTTTCCTTCAGAAATCCCAAATTTTTTAAGTCAAATAAACAATTTTTTTTTATTTTTAGCTTTTTGCTGAAGAAAAAATGAGGAAAGACATGAATTTCTTCGAAAAAAACGTCACGAGAATTTTTTTCAAAGATTTCTCGAACTTATTCAAATACTTTTCTTTGATTTCTCCATTTTAAAACCTTCCCTAACGATTTATAAACAAATTTCCTTAAAAAAACAAAAAAAAAAAATTTTGACAGCAAGGGGATTCGAACCAGCGATGCTCCGCCTCCGAGTCAAACTCGCTAACCACTCGGCCATCACTAAAAGTGCTTAAAATTATTCAAAAAATATCTCAAAATCTTCTGTGACATCCAGATCTGATGGAAAATTTGTTATCCAATTAATTTTCCCATCAACTAACCATCGTTTGCCTCCGAGCCGAGCTCGCTAACCACTCGGCCACCCGACTTTTGCTAGATTTTTATCGCCTAACAATTTAGAAATGCCTTGTGACATCCAGCTTTGAGGGAAATCCTTTAGGCTAGACTCAAAACTGTTTCCCTTCCCAGTAAAACCCTCGATTCGAGATCACTCAAAAATTGGGTAAACTAGAAGAAATTAAGCAAAAATAAAAGAGAATTCATACAATCTGGATGTCACGAAACGCGTTGAAACACTTTTTGGATAGGTCTTTAGCGGCTAGACGATTATGTCTAGAAGAATCTTCATCAGCTATCGGCTCGAAAATTCGCTCCGCTTTTCATTTTTTCGGACACTTTTCCTCGATTTATCATTTCTAAGAGCTTTCCTAACGGTTTGTAAATGAATTTCCTTAAAAAAACAAAAAAGCAAAAAAATTTTGTCAGCAAGGGGACTCGAACCATCGATGATCCGCCTCGGAGCCAAGCTCGCTAACCACTCGGCCATCACTAAAAGTGCTTAAAATGATTCAAAAAATAGCTCAAAATCTTCTGTGACATCCAGCTCTTATGGAAAACTTGTTATTCAAGCCATTTTCTCATCTTTTCTGCTCTATTTCACGTCGAAGTCTTAACTTTTACCTTTTTCAAACGATCTTCATCGATTTTTCTTATTTTTTGTTTTAGAAATAGAATTATAGGTTGCTAGCTACAAAATGGGCAAAATGGGCTCAATTCGAGGGAATATCTCGGAACAAATGTGGAACAAAATCGTGCAAACGACGTGGGAAGAGCAGGGGATACAGTTGATGGAATTTTGCAGGTAAACAAAAAAAATTTTTTTTTTTTGAAGGCGAAGTCGAAATAAACACTGTAAGAAAATAGTGTGACCTCCAGAACTACAGAAAAACTCTTTTAAATCAACTTTTGATCATTCCTTTCAAAGGAAATCCTTTGGTGAAATTTCAAGCCATCTCTTTCTTCATTTTCATCCATTTTCATCCATTTTAAAGCCGATTCAAGAGCCCAACCGATTCCAGAGCCACACCCCCGCCCGATATGTCCTTCACGCTGCCCATTCTCCTCATTCTCATCGTCTACATTGTCGTTTTTGCGATTGCGCTTGTTGGCAATGGGACGATGTTCCTCATTTTGTGCAGGTGAGGAGAAAATTTTAAATTGAGCCTAGAGCCTTAATTTTTTTCCAGTTTGCTAGTGTGACATCCAGATAATCCAATTTCGAGAAAAAAATGAACCCTCATCAACCTAGAAACAGTACTGTAGCGAGACAAGGGTTTTCCCCGAACACCAAGTCGCCAAATCAGCTGCAGGTTTCTAAAACGTGCTAATTTTTACAGTGTGACACCCAGGAAGCAGGGTTTTTGCAAAAGATTCGCAAAAACCCCTAAAAGCTTGAAGAAATTGAGCTGATCTCGGAAATTTTCCAGATCAGCTCAATTTTCCATTGAAAACAAGCCGATTTTTGGGATTTAAAGCAATTTTTGGCTAAGCTGGATGTCACGAGACTCGATTTTTCCATTTTTAAGGCTTAGAGATAATTTGAAGAGTTTGCACCCATGGCGCAGTGGGTCGGCTCGGCTCCCGATCTAGAGGTCACTGGTTCGAACCCCGCCCGGCCCCGCGGAACATGCCAAAGTTTGAACAAATTTCAAAAAGAAGCAAAAAAGCAAAAAGGTTGGAGTCATTGACGGAGGGCGGAGTCGAACCAGCGAGCTCTGACTGGCAGACGCGACCACTACCACTGCGCCATCCGGTTTTTAAGCTTTCAAGCTCTAGTTTATAAAAATTAGCATAGTGTGACATCCAGGAAGCCCAATTCTAACAAAATCTCTTTCAAAACTCCTAAAATCTCCAAGAAATCGCGCTGATCTCGTTTAAAATTTCAGAGTGAGGTTTTGATGTTTATTCTTTCAAATTATTGCAGTGTGACATCCAGCTAGGCAGATTCTATTATAAAATTTGTAAAATCTCATGGAAATTTGGAAAAAAACGACCAGAAACGCATCAACTTCGCTACCGTATCCAAAAGCCTCTAGTTTAAATGTAAATTTGATGATTTGATGATAATTTTCTCTTTTTGATTACATTGAAAGCAGATTAAATCTAGATTTTCCCATTTTTTCATTTCTAATCTGACTATAAACCGATTTTAACCAATTTCGAAAATTTCGATAAAAAAACCTGATTTTGTAGAGCTCTTTTTGAGCCTTTTTTGAGCTCTTTTTAAGCTCTTTTCGAGCTTTTTTTGAGTCAGGAAAGCAAGCTTTAAAGAATTTTCAAAGCCGGCTTTAGGTAGATTTGAAAATTTATGCTTAAAACAATGTTTTAAGGAAACCTCCGAGACGAGCGCAATTTAGTCCCGATTTCGTTTAAATCTTGCAAACTTTAGAATAGCAGCTGCTTATCTGGATGTCACACTGCAATAATTTGAAAGAATAAACGCCAAAACCTCACTTTGAAATTTTAAACGAGATCGTCGCGATTTCTTGCAGATTTTAAGAGCTTTTACAAAGATTTTGCTAGAATTGGGCTTCCTGGGTGTCACACTATGCAAATTTGTTATAAACTAACGCTAAAAACCTAAAGAACCGAATGGCGCAGTGGTAGTGGTCGCATCTACCGCTCAGAGCTTGCTGGTTCGACTCCCGCCTCGGCCCTCACCTTCCCACTCTTACCATTTGACTTACTATCAGTTAACCAATGTACTTTGAGCTGGCTGGAGTTTCGCGGGACCGGACGGGGCTCGAACCAGCGAGGTCTCGATCCGGAACCAAGCGTGTTAGCCACTCCGCCATGGGTGCAAATTTTTGAAAATGATTTCTGAAGCTTAAAAATGAAAAAATTGAGTCTTGTGATATCCAGCTTGGCCAAAAATTGCTTCAAATCCCAAAAATCGTTTTGTTATCAATGGAAAATTGAGCTGATCTCGAAATTCTTTGATTCAAAGTTTTAAAATCATCTATGGGCGGTAAAAATGAAAAAATTGAGTCTCGTGATATCCAGCTTGGCCAAAAATTGCTTTAAATCCCAGAAATGGGTTGGTTTTCAAAGGGAAATTGAGCTGATCTCGAAAATGCGTCGCGGTCGCCTATTCAATTGCCCAATTTTCCAGGAATCAACTTGTCAAAGTGCGTCGTGTGCATTCTCTTCTTCTCCACATGAACATCGCTCATCTGATGGTCACTTTTTTCTATATGCCAAAGGAAATCCTTCACAATTACATGATCGCCTGGAATGGAGGGGATTTTGTGAGTTTTCTTTTGTTTGGATAAACTAAAGGAAGAGTTTTTGCGATAGCGGACATCACTGGTAAATGTCTAGGCAAAGATTTCATCAAATTTTGTAAAGAGCAAAAGCTTTGGCAGAGGGCGGAGTCGAACCAGCGAGCTCTGAGCGGCAAACCTGACCACTACCACTGCGCCATCTGCTTCTTAAGCTTTTAAGCGCTAATTTATAGAAATTAGCATAGTGTGACATCCAGGAAGCCCAATTCTAACAAAATCTCCTTCAAAACTCCAAAAATCTCCAAGAAATCGCGCTGATCTCGTTTAAAATTTCAAAATGGGCTTTTGATGGTTTTTCTTGCAAATTATTGTAGTGTGACATCCAGATAAGCAGCTGCTATTCTAAAGTTTGCAAGATTCAAATGAAATCCGGAAAAATTGAGCTGATCTCAGAAATTTTCCAGATCAGCTCAATTTCCCATTGAAAACAAGCCGATTTTGAGGATTTAAGTCAATTTTTGGCTAAGCTGGATATCACAAGACTTAACTTTTCCGTTTTTAAGGTTTAGAGATAATTTGAAGAGTTTGCACCTATGGCGCAGTGGGTAACGGGCTCGGCTCTCGATCTAGAGGTCACTGGTTCGAGCCCCGCCCGGCCCCGCGGGACACTAGAATGCCAAAGTTTGAACAAACTTCGAAAAGAGGCAAAAAAGCAAAAAGGTGGGAGTCATTGGCGGAGGGCGGAGTCGAACCAGCGAGCTCTGAGCGGCAAACCTGACCACTACCACTGCGCCATCTGCTTCTTAAGCTTTTAAGCGCTAATTTATAGAAATTAGCATAGTGTGACATCCAGGAAGCCCAATTCTAACAAAATCTCCTTCAAAACTCCAAAAATCTCCAAGAAATCGCTCTGATCCCGTTTAAACTTTCAAAGTGGACTTTTGATCTTTTTTCTTTCAAATTATTGTAGTGTGACATCCAGATAAGCAGGCTCTATTCTAAAGTTTGCAAGATTCAAACGAAATCCAGAAAAATTGAGCTCGTCTCGAAAGATTTCGAAAAATATCCGCAAAACTTCTAAAATCACGAAGAAATTGTGGAAAATGCTTGTTTGAAATAAAGCCCTTTTATTAGTCTCTTTTCCTATCGTAACCAGAGCAATTTCAGCTTTGTCGAGCCTGTAAATTCTTCGATGTTTTCGGGATCGCTTTGTCGGCAAATGTTCTAATTTGCATATCGTTGGATCGTTTTTATTCGATTTTCTTTCCATTATACGCCATGAAAGCGAGAAGGTACAGTAGCCATTTGACTATTGAAACCAAACTAAAAACAAAAAATTATGATTACCAAAGTTCTTGAAGGTTTTTAGACCAAAAACCGATAGTCGGTGGTTTGAAAAATTTTAAATTGAGCCTAGAGCCTTAATTTTTTTCCAGTTTGCTAGTGTGACATCCAGATAATCCAATTTCGAGAAAAAAATGAACCCTCATCAACCTAGAAACAGTACTGTAGCGAGACAAGGGTTTTCCCCGAACACCAAGTCGCCAAATCAGCTGCAGGTTTCTAAAACGTGCTAATTTTTACAGTGTGACACCCAGGAAGCAGGGTTTTTGCAAAAGATTCGCAAAAACCCGTAAAATGTCGAAGAAATTGACCTGATCTCAGAAATTTTCGAGATTAGCTCAATTTTCCTTTGAAAACAAAACGATTTTTAGCATTTAAAGCAATTTTTGGCTAAGCTGGATGTCACGAGACTCGATTTTTCCATTTTTACAGCTCATAGATGATTTTGAAGACTTTGCACCTATGGTGCAGTGGGCAACGGGCTCGGCTCCCGATCTAGAGGTCGCTGGTTCGAACCCCGCCCGGCAAAATTGAGCTCAGAGCCTCAATTTTTTTTGCAGTTTGCTAGTGTGACATCCAGATAATCCAATTTCGAGAAAAAAATCAACCCTCATCAACCTAGGAAAGCGTATTTTAGCGAGACAAGCGTTTTACTCGTTTTCTTAATCAAATTTCATCATTTTTGCATCATTTATGCCAAAAGAAGGCTCATTTCTTATTCACCTTTTTACAGATCGCTAACATCTCAAAAATTCCAGATCGGTTCAACAAATGGTCGTGATTGCGTGGATTGTCTCGTTTGTCACCAGTGCGCCACAAGTAAGCTAGAATTGGACAAGCCTCAGTTTCGGACGTCTAAAACTAAACAAGAACCGTGCTTGAGGGCGTCTAAGCCAAAAATTTGATCAAATTTTGTAAAGAAGCAAAAAAATCGGCGGAGGGCGGAGTCGAACCAGCGAGCTCTGAGCGGCAAACCTGACCACTACCACTGCGCCATCTGGTTCTTAAGCTTTTAAGCGCTAATTTATAAAAATTTACATAGTGTGACATCCAGGAAGCCCAATTCTAGCAAAATCTCCTTCAAAACGCCTAAAATCTCCAAGAAATCGCTCTGATCTCGTTTAAACTTTCAAAGTGGACTTTTGATCTTTTTTCTTTCAAATTATTGTAGTGTGACATCCAGATAAGCAGATTCTATTCTAAAGTTTGCAAGATTTAAACGAAATTCGGAGAAATTGAGCTCGTCTCGGAAATGTCAGTTATTTCAAATGAAAACCTTTCAGTTCTACATGTTCCGTGCCACGTCTCACCCTTGTTATCCCTGGTTCTCGCAGTGTGTGGCCCGGAATTTTATCGGAGAGATCCCACATCAAATCGTTTATTGGTACTCGATTGTCAACATTGTGCAGGTAGAATTGAATTGGCAAGACTACGAGATTGATAAGTTTACAAGATTGACACGAGAGCGTTTGCAGAGAATTCTAACGCATTCTAACGCATTCCAAAGCATTCTAACGCATTCTAACGCATGGGGACGCATTCTAAAATGCACTAGCTACTGTAATCCGTAATTTCCATTGCTTAAAGCCATTTTCCATCGCAAATCAACTGCTATAACAGAAGTTAAGTGTTTTTTATTTTTTTCTGGAACGGTAGTTATAGCAGTTGATTCGTGACAACTTGCGACAGCCTCCAGCAGTGTCCAGCAGCATTCAGCAGCCTCCAGCAGGGTCCAGCAGAGTGCAGCAGCCTCCAGCAGCCTCCAGCAGAGTCCAGCAGAGTCCAGCAGCCTCCAGCAGAGTCCAGCAGCCTCCAGCAGCCTCCAGCAGAGTCCAACAGAGTCCAGCAGCCTCCAGCAGAGTCCAGCAGCCTCCAGCAGAGTCCAGCAGCGTCCATCAGCGTCCAGCAACGTCCAGCAGCGTTCAGCAGCCTCCAGCAGCCTCCAGCAGAGTCCAACAGAGTCCAGCAGCCTCCAGCAGCCTCCAGCAGCGTCTAGCAGCGTCCAGCAGCGTCCATCAGCTTCCAGCAGCATCCAGCAGCGTCTAGCAGCGTCCAGCAGCGTCTAGCAGCGTCCAGCAGCGTCTAGCAGCGTCCATCAGCGTCCAGCAACGTCCAGCAGCATTCAGCAGCCTCCAGCAGGGTCCAGCAGCGTCCAGCAGCGTCTAGCAGCGTCCATCAGCGTCCAGCAACGTCCAGCAGCATTCAGCAGCCTCCAGCAGCTTCCAGCAGCGTCCAGCAGCGTTCAGCAGCGACCATCAGCTTCCAGCAGCGTCCAACGTCGATCAACGCAGACCGTAAGCTTTCGATGACGTCCAGGACTTCTTCTTGCCATAATTGAAAGGATTCTTCAGGAAATTTGCGACAACTTGGTGCCAGCACTTCATTTTCTTTGCGATCTTCCGATTCGACAACTTTCTTCCTTTCAAAATCGTACTTTTCAGCTGTAATAATCTTGATGTATTTTCGATGAAATAGCAAAGAAAAACGGTGAAAAATGAATGAAAACAACGGAAATTGAACATACAAGCAAATTAAGCATTAAACAATAGAAATTGCGGTTTACAGTAGCTAGTGGATTTTAGAAAGCGTACCGATTCGCGTCTGCATTTGCGTTCCCATTTGCGTCCGCATTTGCGTTCCCATTTTGCGTCATTTTACGCCGTAAACGCTCGTACAAGATTGACAAGATTTAGGAGTAGAAAAAGCCTTCAGAAAGCTTTAGTCTTTAGAAAGCTTTATGTATTTCAGCTTTGTGTCTTTCAGGTTTACTTCTTGCCCCTTCTCGTGACCGTCGTTTGCTATTCATTGATTTTGTGGCGAATCTCGCATAAAAATTGCTTTAAATCAGGTATTTTAAAGCCGAAAAGCACTTCAAAAAGAGCTTTAAATAAGCCTAAATTAAAGCCTAAACTAAAGCCAAAACATTGTTGAATCTTTTCCTTCTAGAAACCGAGAAGGGCGGACTCTTGCGCAGAAATGGTGGCGACAATTTGCAACGAGCAAGATCGAGAACTTTGAGGTATTCAAAATGCAAACAAATCTAGCCGAAAGCTGAGCACTTTCTTGAGCACTTTCTGGAAAGCTATATAGCTCTATATTATAGCTATATAGCTTCGAGCTATATTATAGGCAAAATTATAGCAAAATTAGACAAAATTGTTCACTCAAATCGCCTAATAGTCGAAAAATCTGGTTAATCTACATTTCATGGCTGGTAAATGAAGATTTTAACGATTTAATCCTAATTTTTATCAATCCTGGAACTCACATAAGCATCTGAGCGCTTAAAAATTGCTTTTTTCCCCAAATGTTTGACCGGCGGAATCGAACCCGGCACCCTCAGATTTGTAGTCGAGCGCGCTAACCACTCGGCCACCTGGACTTTGTTATTTTTTTAGCTACTAACAGCTTAGAAATGTCCTGTGATATCCAGCTTTGAGGGAAAGCTTTTCGGTTAGGCTCAAAACCGTTTCCCTGCCGAGCAAAAGCCGCGATTCGAGTTCATCGGCAAATAGAGCGAATAAAGGGAATATTGAGTAAAAGTAAAAAGCGATTCTTTCAATCTGGATATCACAGAATGCTTTGCCTCACAAATTTCGAGTTTTTGAAGAGTTTAAAACATCTGACTATGAGCATCCAGAGACTAGGCAATTCACTGCTGGTAAATGAAGATTTTAACGATTTAATTGAATTTTTAGGAATCCTAGAGCTCACAGAAGCATCTGAGCGCATAAAAATTGCTTTATTCTCGAAATGTTTGACCAGCGGAATTGAACCCGGCACCCTCAGATTTGTAGCCGAGCGCGCTAACCACTTGGCCACTATATTTTTAGCTTTTAACAATGTAGAAATCACCTGTGACATCCAGCTTTAGGGGAAAGGCTTTGGGCTAGGCTTAAAGTTGCTTCCCTAGCGAGCAAGAGCTGTGATTCGAGTTCATCGAGAAATAAGACGAATGGGGGATAATTGAGAAAAAGTAAAAAGCGATTCTTGCAATCTGGATGTCACGGAATGCTCGGTCTAGCAAATTTAGAATTTTTAAAGAGTTTTAAAATAAAAGTTCTTTCTTGGTTATTAAACGATTCCTAAATTCAAATTCACTCAATTGAAAGAATTATTTTTTTTAGGATGACTTTCGTCGTCGTTTTTGCTTTCCTTTTCTGCTGGACACCCTACGCAATCATCATGTTTTTGCATTTCACAACAAACAGCAAAGAGTTGTGAGTTTTTGACCAAATCCAGATCAGAACTTGAAGAAGATTGATATCAATCCTTAGCTTGGCTCGGCTCTAAGCCTTGCCAAGGCCTTCCTTGGATAGAATAGACCATTATGGATAGGATTTCATGTTTATGTGCCTTGAAGTTTTTTGAGATTTGCCTTCTAAACTGTCAGTGTTGATCAATGACTACTTAAACTGTCAATATTTACCCAAAGAACCTTTCTACACATTCCGTGACATCCAGATTGCAAGAATTATCTTTTAGTTTTCTTCAACCTTTCTCATTTCTCTCTATTTTTGAGTGATCTCGATTCACAGCTCTTGCTCGACAGGGAAACAGTTTTGAGCCTAGCCAAAAAGCTTTCCCTTAAAGCTGGATGTCACAGAGGATTTCTAAATTGTTATCGGAGAAAAATAAAGCCAAAGTTACCGAGTGGTTAGCGCACTCGATTACGAGTCGAAAGCTAGCGGGTTCGATTCCTTTAGCCGAATTTTGATGCTTTTTTTAAAATTACAATGTTTCTACACATTCCGTGACATCCAGATTGCAAGATTTGTTCTCTAGCTTTTCTCAATTCCCCACACTTCTCGTTATTTTTGAGAGATCTCGAATCGCGGCTCTTTCTCGACAGGGAAACAGTTTTAAGCCTAGCCAAAAAGCTTTCCCTTAAAGCTGGATGTCACAGAGGGTTTCTAAATTGTTAGTAGCTAAAAATCGGACAAAGTCCCGGTGGCCGAGTGGTTAGCGAGTTTGACTACGAGTCGAAAGCTGGCGGGTTCGATTCCTTCAGCTGGATTTTGATTTTTTTTTTTTTGGAATTTTGGAACTTGGACTATTGCGTAGTTGAAAGAAAGAAGCTTGGCTATCATTTTTTACGAAAAAACTTCTTTCAGAGTGCCAAAAGAGCTGCGAAAATTCATTTACGCTTTCGCTGTTTTCAACTCGGCTCTTTCCCCGTATTTGTACGGATATTTCTCGTTTGATGTCAAAAAGGTAAAGAGTTTTAATTAAATTTAACGATTTTAACTAAAAAATAGCCTAATTTCATTGAAAAATTGGTAAAAATTCAAAAATTACAAAAATTTCATAAAAATCACCCGGATTCGGTAAATTCGGCTGAAAAAAAGACGGATTACGGTACCTTTTTACGTCTGATTTGATTTCTTTCATATTTAACTATTACAGGAGCTAAAACTCTTGCTAATGTGCTCGACGAGAAACGCGGTCTCCGAGCGTTTCATCTCGTATTCGTCGACGATACATGCTGGGTGAGTAGACTGAAATTTCAAGGAAACGGTTGAGCATTGGGTAACTAAACTGATTGGAAGCTTCAAGCTGGAGGTCACAGTGCTAGAAGCCGGGAGATTAGGCCTTATTTCCTGAAGCCAATGACTTTCGTCTAATCCGTTTCCGTCTCTACGGCTAAAAGGGTACTGTAGCTATTGATTGAGTAACTAAACCAATGCCAATCTTCAAGCTGGAGGTCACAGTGCTAGAAGCCGTGAGATTAGACCTTATTTCCTGAAGCCAATGACTTTCGTCTAATCCGTTTCCGTCTCTACGGCTAAAAGGGTACTGTAGCTATTGATTGGGTAGCTAAATTGATGACAATCTTCAAGCTGGAGGTCACACTTCAAGCTGGAGGTGCTAGACGCCTTATTTACCAAAAGCCGATTGATATTGAATTACTGCGTCTCTAATCCGTTTCCTAAACCGTGCCCTTTCGTACGTAGTACGTAGTACGGTACGGTAGCTTTTGAAGCTCACCAAGCTTTTGGAAAGCTCACCTTTGAACAATTCGATAAAACTAACTTTAGCTTATGAATATGAGGTCTTTCAGAATTCGCAACAGCTCCCGGATCCGTAAACGCAGCCAATCAGCCACAAACATCAGCAAAGAGGTAAAGGAAAAACTAGAAACGTTTTCTTTGAGTTCTTTGAGTTCTTTAAGACTGACAAGCCTTTATTTAATGTTTTTTTCGTATTTCAGACAAGTCTGTCAACGAGTTGATTGCCCAAAAAATGATTCACATCATTCCATTCCTTTCATCCTCATTGCTCAATGTCCTTTTCCCCCCCTCCAAATCTGTGCATGTGCTCGCCTGCTCTCCCGAATGAACGAGCACGAAATGATGTATGTTTGTTGAAAGGTTTTGATGAGTTTTGACCAGTTTTAACAAGTTTTGACAAGTTTTGACAATGTTTGACAAGTTTTGCCAAGTCCAGCCCTTTTGCGCCTAGTTTTACCTCTTTTTTTGCCCAAGCTGGATGTCATTTCGATAAAAACCCACTCTTTCCTTTAAGCAAGTCTCGGCCACGGTTCGTCAGGACTTTGAAAGGAAAAGTCGGGGTAAATCGAACTTTTCCGCTTGGTTCTGCCACTTTTTGGCCAAGCTGGATGTCATGTAAGAGGAAATTTCAATAAAAACCCACTCTTTCCTTTAAGCAAGTCTCGGCCACGGTTCGTCGGGACTTTGAAAGGAAAAGTCGGGGTAAATCGAACTTTTCCGCTTGGTTCTGCCACTTTTTGGCCAAGCTGGATGTCACGTAAATTGAATTTAATCATTTTCACGTTTTATAGCGCTTTCTAAACGAAATTGCTATTTGTGACCACCCAACGAGAATCTCCGCCATCCCGTTCGAAAACTGATACCGAAAAATGCGCACAACGCTCGGGATTTTCGCCAAAATGTCCACAAATCCGTTTTCAGCTTAAAAGCAAACATTTTTCAACTGACCGGATTCGAACCAGCACCCGGCTATCAGATTGATAGCCCAGCGCACTAACCATTAGGCCACAAATTTTTTTGCTTATTTTAGATAACGAAAGGCTTAGATAGATTCTGTGACATCCAGCTTGAACGAAAAACGTTTTAGTTTCACTCAGTTTCCTTTCGTTTTTCTTAAAATCACGCGAACTGAGATCACCGAAAAATAAGCCGAAAGAGAGGGAATTAAGGCTAAAGAAAAAGCTTTTCATCAGTCCTGGATGTCACTGAACAGTGAGGAATTATTAGGATTTGAAAATAGAGAAGATTTTTGATGGCGCAGTGGGAAAGCCTTGATTTTCGAGGCAGACGGTCGCTGGTTCGACTCCGGTCACTGCCAAAAGTTTCTCCAATCGACTTTTCTTCAAATATTCATCTAATCTCTCCACTTTTTTAGCCCGAAATGCTCGACGTCGCCCCCCAGCAGGCCCGCGTTCACTCCTTGCGTTTGCCGAAAAAATCCGATGTCGGTGATCGAAGTGGAGAACTTTGGTGCTAAAAAACGATCATTTAAAAGAATCATTTTATCATGTGCGTTCCAATTTGGTCTAATTCGTTGTCTAAAACGTTCCCCACTTACACGAAAAGCTTGAAAACTGCGCCGACTCGTTTCAGCTGGTTTTTCGACTTTTTCCGGCTTTTTTTATTGATTCAAATGTGCCTTTTTGTGTTTTTTTTAATTTTATTGAATAAATTGTATCTTTTTCTTAAAAATTCAATCAAAAAAAGCGAAAAAATCAAAAAGTTTCAAATTTTTCTTTTTTTTCTTCAATCAAATATTAGCGAAAAAGTCAAAAAAGTGCGAAAATTTGAAATTCACCGAAAATTTTGCCTTTTTTTCCCCTTTTCCCGGTTCAAAGCTTGTCTAGAAACACTTTTTTGAATAAAATTTCCATTTTACTTATTTATTTCCCATCTTGCAATCATTTACTTGAGAAATTCGACCGAAACCCATTTAATTCCGTAGCTGAGCCAATTCCCTTGCTATTTTCAAACAATAGTATACTGTGACTAAGTGCAAGCTAAAAGCTGGATGTCACAGAAGATTTTGTGCTATTTTTTGAAGCATTTTAAACACTTTTCCCAACGGCCGAGTGGTTAGCGAGCTGGGCTCCGAGGCGAAGCATCGCTGGTTCGAGTTTCCTTGCTGCCAGAGATTTTTTGCTTTTTTGTTTTTTCGAGGAAATTTATTTAGAAATCGCTGGGAAAGCTTTTAAAATACAGAACGGAAAATGGAAATGTAATCTTTCTTGAAAACGAATGATCAAAATGATAAAATTTGGTTAAAGATCGAAAAGTCTGAAATCTGAAAAACGAATGCTCAAAATGTAAAATTTAGTTCCCGTGACTTCCAGATTGACCAAAAATTTACTCAATTTCCAAAAATCGTTTAGTATTTCAAGAGAAATTCGGTTGAACTCGATATCTAGCCGTTTTCTTGATATCTAGCCGCAATGACATACTCTAACTAAGTGCAAGCTAAAAGCTGGATGTCACAGAAGATTTTGAGCTATTTTTTGAACGATTTTAGGCACTTTTCGCTTTTCGTGGCCGAGTGGTTAGCGAGCTGGGCTCCGAGGCGAATGGTCGCGGGTTCGAGTCCCCTTTCTGCCAGAAATCTTCTCCTTTTTTGGTTTTTTGAGGAAATTTATTTATAAATCGTTGGGAAAGCTGGCAAAATGTATAAAACGAGAAAAATTTACCGAAAAAGAGTAAAGAAAGACGAATTTTCAAGCTCTAATTGGCACTACAAATTTTTCTGTTTTCCCTCATTTTCTCTAATCTTTTTTCATACTTTTTTCGGTTTATACATTCGAAAAGCTTTCTTAACGATTTATAAACAAATTTCCTTGAAAAAACAAAAAAAACGAAAATTTCTGGCAGCAAGCGGATTCGAACCCGCGACCCTTCGCCTCGGAGCCAAGTGAGCTATCCATTGCTCCATGGGAGCTGAATTTTAAATATGACCCTTGAGCTTTAAAAATGTAAAATTTAGTTCTCGTGACCTCCAGATTGGCTGGAAATTCGCTCGATTTCTAGAAATGGTTTCAGTTTCAAGAGAAATTCGTTTGCACCTCAGCTTTCGTACAACTTTTTAGTACAATGAAGAAAATTCGCAAACACACCCAATCTAGCACACTGGAAAGGTAGTGTGCGCTCCAGATCGAGTGAATTTGAGTTTAAAGTACGCACAAAGTACACAGGTGAAGCTAAATGAGAGGCTGACAAAAATCTAGAAAAAAGGCTTGAGGAAAATTTAGAAACCAACCCAATCTAGCACACTGAAAAGGTAGTGTGCGCTCCAGATCGAGCGAATTTGAGTTCAAAGTACGCATAAAGTACACAGGTGAAGCTAAATAAGAGGCTGACAAAAGTCTAGAAACCAGGCTGAAAAAACTTCAGAAACGGACCCAATCTAGAACACTGAAATGGTAGTGTGCGTTCCAGATCTGCCAAATTTCAATTTCAATTTCAATTTTCTTACAGATTCAATGGAATATTTCTCTTCAAAAGATCAGGTGTTCGAGATTGTCGAATTTTGCCTTTTTTTTGCTCTTTTCTCTAGCAGATGATTGTTCCCTGGGGAATTCCTGGCGTTAGAGTCAGCTCTGACTATTGTTTTTTTATCTTTCTCCATTCTTTTTCCTTTTTCTCAGTCAATCAAAGTCCGGCAATCATTTGGGTTCATCTTTTACTCTTTTTTTTGGCTTTGAGTTTCATTTCTAAAGAGATCGAGAATTTCAACCAAAAATCATGCATTAAATCACCCTTTTTCATCCCAGAATCTGCCACAATTTGGTTTAATTTCTCCTGGTTAAAGTAACCCAAGTTTCTGGCCGTTTCTGGCCGTTTATGGCCGTTTCTGGCCAAGCTTATTGTTTAGACAAACTTCTTTAGCCTCAGCGCACACCAAAACCACCTTAGAAACAGGATCAACCGCTTAAAAACAAAAAGCAAAAAAATTTTGGCAGCAAGGGGATTCGAACCCGCGAGGTTTCGAACCGCACTCGAGCGCTTATCCATTGCACCAAACCTTAAAATGATCCTTGAGCCTTAAAAATGTGAAATTTAGTTCCCGTGACTTCCAGATTGACCAAAAATTGACTCCCTTTCCAAAAATCATTTCAGTTTCAAGAGAAATTGAGTTGAACTTGAATGGCCTGATTCCAATCACGGTTAAAATTATCTTTAAGCCTTCAAAATTTAAAATTTAGTTCTCGTGACTTCCAGATTGGCTGGAAATTGACTTAATTTCTAAAAATCGTTTCATTTTCGACGGAAATTAGGCTCGAGTCAAAATCGGTGCCAGAATTTTTTTTAACCTTTTCTTTTTTGTTTCTTTGAGAATAATTCTTTTAGTGTGACATCCAGATAAGCAGATTCTATTGTAAAATTTGCAAAATTACATGCAAGTTTTGAGGAAAACTTCTCGAAACGGAGATCCATCAGCTGAAAAATTTCCATTGAACCTAGAGCTTTAATTTTGTGAGATTTTCCAATTGTGACATCCAGATAGTCCAATTTCGACAAAAAACTGAACCCTTATTGATCTATTGCAGCGTATTCTAGCGAGACAAGGATTTTTCCCGTCAACCAAATCGCCAAATCAGCTGCTGCTAATTGCTAGCTGCTAATTTTTACAGTGTGACATCCAGGAAGCACGATTTTTGCAAAAGATTTTATAGATTTCATAAAATTTTGAAGAATTGAGGCCGGAAAGGATCGAGGTGCTCTACCAAACCTGTAAGTGAGATTATGAGTTGTTTCCTTTAAAAATCTTTTACCGTGACATCCAGATAAGGAGATTCTTTTGTAAAATTTACAAAATGTCATGCAAGTTTTGGAGAAAAACGTCCGGAAACGGATGAAGTTCACTACCGTACTCAAAAGTCTCTAGAAAAGAGCAAAAGAGCCAAGGTTTGATGGACAACAATCAAGGAACTATCAAGAAACGATCAAATTCCATTATATCATTCTTTATATCATTCTCGACTCTTCTCTTCAATAGAATTGCCCATTTGCTAATCGGTGAAAAGAAAAGCAAATTTTGAGCCTTTTCCCCTCAAATTCTCGCATGGCAACGGAAGAAATACACAGGAAATTATGGAATTACAGAAATTACGAAAAATATTAGCATTGGGCAAAAGATTAGAGAAAAAAGAAAAAAAAAGGAAAAACTCGGAAAAAATTTGTAGTGGCAATTAGAGCTTGAAAATTCGCTTACTTTTCACACTTTTTT